TGACATAGGTTGAGGAAAAACCAGACACTTTTTAAGGTTACAAATATCAGTTATGTAATCCATTTGAGGGAAGATGAATGGGCATGGTCTAAGAAATATAAAAGAAAGATGAAACAATGGCCAGGATTTTATTGATTTGATGTGAGGGCTAGAAAAATTATGGGGAGTTGGGTTGGAATTCAACACCCCTCTCCCACATTGTCCTCCAACAACTGAAGAATGAATCAGAAATGTAAAATTCAAAAGTCAACCTTCTGCTATTGAGGTAAGGTAATATGGAGGTACTTAAAATTTAGATGGAATTCTTCAGAAAACTATTGAAGAGGCTTACAAAATCTAATAGAGATATATAAATTGATTTGAGTGATTAGGCCAGGAAAAATGCCTTTGACTACATATTGAAATTAATCTAAGGGTTGCTTTGCCCATAATACAACATCCTTACCGACTCCATTCAGCAAAGTTATCTCAAGTGAAGGAAGAGATTAAGCTCATGGTGGACAATTACGTTACTGAACAGAATTATTGTAGCTGGAGTTCACTTAGCAAAATAGTATCAAAACAATGGGTTACAAAGATTATGCTTTGATTATTGCTTGGTAACAATGTTGAATTTCTGATTCCAAGACTAGAAGAGCCCATTGAAAGAATGGAACATGCACAATACATCACCAAAGCTGATTTATCAAAAGGATAGTGTCAAGTTCCATTGACTTATGGACCCAAAAAAATTATCCAGAATGGGCTTTAGCAATGTAAAGGCATGCTATTTTGAATGAAAACAACTCCACAACTTTCCAATGATTAATCAAAAAAGTTATTGAAGGATGGTGTAACTGTGTTGTTGATGTCAATGACTTGGTTACATTCAACCAAACCTTTGAAGGACATTTGCAGTATTTAATAGAACTGTTTGATTACAAAAAGCCAATGTGATCATAAATCCAGCTAAAAATGAATTTTGCAAACCAAAAGTGATTTATTTGGGCCATATGGTGGGACAAGATAAAGTAGTCCCTGGAAAAACACAAATAAGGGCACTTTTGGATTTTTCCAAGCTTAAGTCACAATGCCAAAATTTGTAATATTTTGGCATGAGTGGATTTTATAAGGGGCTTATTTTTGAACTTACCCATGGTAATGTCTGTTTTGACGTATGTATTGAATAAAGGCAACACATTTGAAAAGGCAAAAGCATATCAGTGTGCCTTTGACAAATTTGAAAGCTATGATGACAAAGGCACCAGCTCTAGTAGCACCAAAATGTTAAAAAAAAGCTTTCAAATTGTCCATTTATGCCAATGACATCAGCTGAGTGCCATTCAACTACAAGAAGATGAGATGGGGGTCAAATGACCAGTCAGTTATTTATCAAAAGAATGAAATGATTGTCAGCAACAATACTCAATGATGTGGAATGAAACATTGAATCTCATGCTGGCTCTACAGCAGTTTAAAATTTACAAAACTAATAACTCTGAAGAGCCTTTTATACACAGCACAATGTTTTTAGAAAGATTTCATGACAAAAAATAAGACTGTTTCCTTGGAGCTTAAGCTACAGCTACACTAGTTAAGAATCTGTAATTGAGCTGACAAGGACAATATTATAGTGAACATTTTGTCAAGTGCAAATATTAACCAAACTAAATGTTGTGATCTTTGCTTTTGTTGTTGCTGAATTCAAATTAACATTTACAATGGTTTGAAGGCTTTCCCAGTATGTGATGGTCCCCCACTGAGCAATGAGAAGATGTTAGACAACACTGGACTTTGGAGAAGCTATAGCATTCCCTTAAACAGGATCTAGGATGAGCTGACAGAAAAGATCGGTATAGCTTGTTTCTAAAACAGTAATATATTTATAAATATGCACTTGCATTTATGATCAAGTGTCAGCTGTACCACGCATTTGGTCCCCTTTGCACTTCATGCTGTGTGACTGGCAGGACTCCTGACTTGACCTGGTTCATCTTTGGGCTTTAAAAATGATGCTAGGGCTAGGAATCATGGGAAGTGGCTAGTACTTCTGCCGCTGGTGAGAGGGACGATATAATGAGTGCCATGTCATAGAAGCATGGCATGTATGCAATGAGGCTATTACATCGAACAGAATCCCTACAGTTCTGAAGCGGGCTATTCGGTCCATCAAGTCCACACCCACCCTCCAAAGAACATCCCACCTAGATCCACCCTCGCCCTCTATTCCTGTAACCCTGCATTTCCCATGGCTAACCCACCTAACCTGCACATCTTTGGATTATGGGAGGAAACCAGAGTACCCGGTGGAAACCATGCACTGACATGGGGAGAATATGCAAACTCCACACAGTTGCTGGAGGCTGGAATCAAATCCAGGTCCCTGGTGCTGTGAGGCAGCAGAAATAATGAATGAGCCACTGTGCCATGCCTGTGTGAAAAACAAGCTCACAAAGATTCATGGACAGAAACCCTCCATGGAACTCACTAAGAATGACATTTAGCCAATTTCTAGTAAATTTCAGCCCAGTATTTATACAGTTGGATTTATGGCAGGCAGAGCTAACACATTAAGACAATTAGTTTAGGTTTTGACATCAGAACAGAAGATTTAATCTCTTAGTTCAGACGAAGCCAGAGTTCAGTTCAGAAAGTAGAAAAATGTCTCCAATCAGGAGAATCAAGTCAGTTCAGGAAAGCCAGTCTCCTCAGCAGAAGTGGTAACGAGCCTGGGGAGCTTCCCTGCAGGAGCATTTGAATAGAAATCTTCAAGTTATTAGAACTGAGAAAGTTTACACCATCAGAATTATAAAAAGAATGGAATCAAGAAAGTGTTTCCATAGTTCAACTGGGGAGAAACTGGGGCCAGTCAGTTAAGTAACAAATTAAATAGGAGTGACATTTCTCTGGGTTTGAGTCTCTGTGACAGATAGTGTTAGCAAACAAGTTGGAACTTTATTTTGATGTTTGTTAAGATCTTTATGTCCGTTATATATACATGCATGTAGTTTTGTTAGTTATTTCCTACTTTGTGTAATAAACTAATGTTCTGTATGTAAAGAACATCTGCAGTCTCATATGTATGTTTCAGTGTCTAATCATCATGTTAATTGATTGCAAAAATTAAATATATGATCTATCAAGACACGTTTGATTCTGGGATCTGCCTATAGACCTAAGGCTATGTCCTCCTGACCGTCTTTGTAATAATATAGAATCTATTATTATGACTTGTAAATAAGTTGCACAGATACAATAAATTACAGTTTAGTTATTCTAAAAGTCTTTCCTAGACTAGATGGTGGCTTCCCTCAAACATCCTGAACAGTGTAAGTCCTGAGAGATCGAGACACCTAGAAGATACAGACAGAAGCAGACACAAATGTAGGTGATCAATGTAGGATCTGAAGTCTTAACTTCACAGCACCAGTCCCAAGGAAACAAATATGCTGGTAACCCAGAAGACTTCAAACAAACATTGTTGATTGTTGATGACACTAAATCCCCCCAAAAATCTTGTGCTGACAACACTGGACATTTGCAAAATACTTCAAAGAAAGACACAGAATGCATTTCACACCTGCTTAGGGACATACAGGAATGGATGAAATTGATAACTCCAAGGCAGAACAACAGGTTGCATTGTGAAGTGGTGGTCTGTTGGACAGATCCTGTGTTTGAGTTCTGCTGGTGAACGACCAGACATCGGAGTGTGCCTGAGGTCAAACTGAAAATTCCTGCAGCACAAGTAAAAGCGTGGGAATTCAGACTGAAAGAACTGAATTTAAAGGATGAGTTGCAACTGGTGTTAACATTATTGCATGTGGGTACCATGAGACAAAGTCGGAAGAATTTCAGTATCACAGAATGTTTACAGCAAAGAAAAAGGCCTTTCAGCCTGTTGTACCTGCACAGGTTCTAATGCATAGTGCCAATCTCCTGCCTTTTGTCCCATATCCCTGTAGATCACTTCTATCCAAATAATCATCTAAAGCACTTTAAATGCTTCAATCGAACCAGATTCAGAAATTCAGCCCAACATTTCAGCGATATCCTTTGGAAGGCCTTCAAAGAAAGTTTAAAGCCAATCACCCCAAAGGAATTCTAGACTGTTAATACAAATTTTGAACTCCATCATAAAAGCAAGGACAGTTGTGTCATTCTCAAGGTATTGCTCATTGAATGATTTCTTTATCCTTTCTGATTTTCTCTCTTGGTGTGTGTTTGCGAGTATGCCTGTGCTATGAAGCTCCCCCAAACTACCCCACCCACCCCTGTTACATCTGAGAGTGTGTGAATTGAACCCCATTTCTGATTTAACTTATAACAGTGTTATTGCGGTCCTTGCAAAGTCAGAGTCCACAAACGGAGGGAATGGGAAAATATGCCACTATTGCTTAAGAAAGTGAAAAATTAAATAAAAATCTGCTTATGGAATGACAGTGAGGATAGGGAATGATATTCATTTTAAAATTTGCAACCTGTCTTACTCCATATAGGCACAAAGACATTGCTGGCTGAGGAAGAACCACGTTTTCGTTTAGTAATACTTCGATCACCCTGATAGTGGCAGGAGATGATATTGAAGTTGTTAACTAATTCTAGCACTCAGGTAACAAAACGTAATTTTCTGCAACAATCACATTTGTATTATAATGATAGATTACTGACTGCTATGGCATAGCTAGCAAGCTCCAATCCTGTATTCTGGAGGATTAAAGCCCTCATTTTACATTGGCATGGATATTCCAAATTTTCCACCCGTGTGAATATATGGGCAGGTGCTACAATGTTGCTTTGCAGTGACATAGCGCAGTAGCACACTAATTCTGTAAATGTGTGTGTGGTTCTCCACCTAGTGGTAGCAAATGGCTTCAAATGCAGTCTAATTTTAGATGCGCATAGAAGTATATAATGGATAAGGTGACAGAAAGCCGGTGCAGACCTGAGGCTTTAAACATTCTAAGAAAAATGTACATTAAAATGGCTCAATCAGTGGAAAATAAAACATTATAACAATATTATTTTTAAAGGTTTTATTTATAAACGACATACATTTACTATAAAAGCTGTTGTATTATTTGAACACAATTTATTTCTTCTTTCAAGGGGCAGATCACTATACAAGTAGCGCAATAGTTGAATGTAACATATACCAGACTACTTCAATTATTTATTAAAATCACCAGTCCAAGTCCATATTTGGTTAAGCATCATTTGGAGAAGGGTTGTTAACGACATACAATCAGATCCAACAACTCTCTACACAGATGATAGTAGATGCTGGCAGAGATACATTGCATGCTACTATAAGGACACTGCGTCCAATCATGCAAACATGAATTGACAAGTCTTGCTGACAAAATGAGAAGAGTAATCACGAGAACAGGTATTTTAACGAGAGTTTTATTGATTTATGAACCAAGTATGTACTTCCTCAAAATCAGTAAAAGTCAACCATACATACAGTGGAATCTTGTAAAACAAAATGTAATTTTCCAAAAAAAACATAAGTTGATTATTTTGTTATTGAGTATGTGTTTTCATATGCATTTTGGTAATCCAAAGTGTTCATACCTCTGTTATGGCTCACTTCTGTTAATAGCTATATTAACATTTTAGTTAAGAATTTGCTGTTGTTGCTCATAGATGAGCACAATACATTTTATGATGTTCTACTTTTTATCTTAAATGAGTTAACGTCTTTAAGATAGTATGTGACAGTTCTCTTGGGGAGTTTGAGTTGCTGTAGCATTATGCATTTTTTATATGCATGCTTTACTCTGGGGCTATAAATAGTGATGGCAGAGGCTCCTTTCCATCGCACAGTTGACCAAGAATCTCTCCTGCTTTTATAACCTGCTATTGATGAGTTGCAAAGATGTACAGATACTCAACTTGTCAATGCTACAAATGCATCTCTTTTGGCCTTCAAATCCTGGCATGGAGCTTGAATCTAAAACATGTAAGGGACACTATCTACTGAGCCATAAAACTTTTTTAAAATAGTAGATGAATATCATACAAACCTGTTAATCATTCATTTTCAATATTGCTTACTGTATCATCCAGCCCATATTCTAAGTAGTATTACTCAGTGGCTTTGAATATTAATGCTTAACACTGTATTAAATATAAATCTGTACTGAAACAGTTTACTGCACAGGTAAAAAGTTTCAATATTACCACTCAAATGCTTAGTGACTATTGTCATGTTCAAGTTGTCACAACTTAAACTTTTTCTTAAGATGAAGAGAATTGCAAATGGGGCTACTAGAACAGGGACACAATGTGCTACAATATATGCATTACTACTTCCTCTGTACTTTAATTTCTGAGGAGAAAAAACATGTACAAGAATATGTAAAAAGTCCTCTTTAAAAATCTTTTGAGTGCTGAACCGTATATTTTACACAATAGAGAGACTGCAAGATAAACATCAGCCTTTGCTGAAACCATGCAGAAGAGTAGGAAATTTCAGTTTAATATGAACTGGTCACATGAGATAAATCAATTAGGCCTCAGCTTCATATCATTTCCTTTGCAGTATCACTTGTACCCAGCTCACTTGAGAGCTGATAAAGATGCCTCTCGAGTCGGATACCAATTATTTCACATTCACTGCAGATGCTCAACACTTCGACAGTCCATGTGCAACAGCCTGCATTTTCTAAGGCACAGTTTTAATGTGGAAGAAATAAAATATTCTTCCACTAGACTGATCCAAAAATGGTTACAAATAAAAATACAGCAAACATTTATCACATAGTACTTCAGCATAAGGACTTGACTAGCATGCAAAACATAGCTTTATCTATTTCAATAAATAATTGTCAAACACGTAACTTTAAGAAATAATTATAGCTGAACTAGAGAAGAAGGGATTTATTTATTTGCATGTTAAATGATTATGGACTATAACATTTATCCTATTGAATGTATATCAAGAGCTTCAGCGAGTATGGAGCTGACATTGTATTGCTGTTGTTTAAAGTAAGAACTATGTAGTTGGCTAATTAGGTGCTTTCCTTCTCCACAGAATCACTTCATAGGTATCTGCCTGAAATATAAGTGGATTGCTAAGCAAGGGATCATGGCAAATCTCAGGCTAGTTGTGATTATTTGGCTAGCCTCATTTGACTACAAAATAAGAACAGTGACATTTGAAAAGTCCGTGGTATCTCTAAAGGTATTTTTTAAAAAAAGAATTGCTTTCCTCAGCAGCTTTGCAGAATGTTCCATCAGACAGATTTAGAGATGATTTAAAACTGCTGAATGCAATCTAATTCTTTTCCTGCTTGGAAAGCTTCACTTTTTAAAATGTTTCATGGTTTCAATGCTTCCTAATAGGTAGAATGTTTTATAATAAAAGGTGTAATAAACACCAAAACATTTGATACTATTTTGTAACCTTAATTACTTCATTTACTCACCACATAAAGGGATGCTTGCATTTTAGAGGGATCACTGGACTCAGTTTGAGGCAAAAATGTGAAACTTCAAACTTGTGGCTCATCATTTTCTAGCCAGATTCAGAATGTAAAATGGCACCATAGGCCAATTATTCACAGCTCAAATGGTAAGAATACATGCAGGAATATTGCATTTGAGTTACTTGAATTTTATTATATTAATTCTTGGCGCATCTTAACTCTGAGGAAATATACCAGATTATGGAAGAAAAAAAATCAGGCACCAAGCCAACATGAAACTTAGGGACTGGGTCTATGCTGTACCAGAAAAACTCAACAAGGTGTGGAACAGTCAATTCTTTTTGTGATCTTGAATATGAATTGCAGCCTGTTAGTAGTCTATTAATTAATCATTAACTTGAAGATCATATCCACCTAGATGCTCCTTTATAGAAACTTAGCTCAACTGGCTAAAAATAGATGAGAGGAAGTCTGTGATGAACATGTGCAAAAACCTGATGCAATGTTAGAACCATTGGCCATCCACATTTGAAAGCAGGTCCTTCCTAACACAGCAAATTGAAGAGATAGACCTCAGATTGGGACGCTTATTTCCCTAAAAGATAAGTATCTCAACTTTCCTTTTTCAAAAAGAAATACAATGTCTGGTTCATTGCTAAATCGTGTAGATGTATGCTGGTACAATCTAGTATCAAAATACTTGGTTATTGCCTCATTATTCATTTATACAGATGCCAAACACAATATTACTTAGCAATCTATAATATCAAAATTAATGCAAATCTATCCGTTTAGAATGATCTCTACGTCTCCTCAGTGTTACACAGATGGCTCAAGTTAGTTCCAGGAAAAGGAAGACGACAGGTATTATCCACTATATAGGACAAACATAGGGCAGAATCTTGTGGAGGCAAGGGAGTATCTCAGCTATTGGTTAGAGAGACAATGAGATGCCATGTCATGTCATTTTGGGAGGATCTTCTGCCAGGCACTGAACAATGATACGCTTCACACCAGGGGTGGGTAACCCACCAGCCAACAGCTACTGGCCAATCGGAGGCTGGCATCACTTCTGCACTCAGAATTGGCACCATGGGGGCTCATACTACTGTTGACATGATCTACCCATTGGAGGCCTTGGATTGAGAAGGAGCCTGAGCACCGATGAGGATGGGGAGAGAGGGATCACGGTAAGAATGGGTTACAGCAAAGGCAGTGTTATGGAGTCAGAAAGCCCCCTTATTGCTGATAGCAGATCTCACAATCAGGCACTGAGTGCCTTTAAATGAGGGATCCACACACCACTCTTCTACCGCATTACCCACACCCCAGAGTCTGAAAGCAAACATGTGGTATGATGGTTGTGCTCCCAGCTTGACAGGTTCCACCACCTTTTTCCGCCCTAGTTTTATGCCAGTGCTGGGGGCATTAGGCCCTGAAGTGGGTATTAAATGGATTTAGTTGTGATGAAAGCAAGTTCCCATCTTTCTACCAATTCATCATTCCCTTACCACTAAACTTGTCATGGGTGGAGCTCACAAGATTCAGTCCCCATTTTTATTCATTTACTCCCATAATCATTGCACCTTTAACGTGCTTTTTTAATTGGAAGAGGCAACAAAATAAATTATATATCACACAACATTAATTAAATAGGTGTTGAATCCAGTTAAAAGCTTTTATTTGACAGGAAATTTAGGATGCTACTTTGTAACTCTGAGCAAAAAGAATGGTGGTTCCACTAAGTTTGAAAGTGATCCAAGGTGTAGACTGCCAAAATAACAATGTAGATAGAAGCTACTTTGGACAATGATAGCTCTTCTAATGAGAAAGCCAGTGAATGACAGTTTCTATCCATGATTGTCCATGAAGCAATCATCACAAGGATCAGCGTTGAGCATGGGCCATCTGTGTTCTTCCCGACATCCAGTTGCTGTTGCTGATTGACATGTGGCACGGTCATAAAGTAGTGGGTTGTCCAGCAGCTAAAAAAAGTAAGCAATTTTAAAGTAAGCAATATTCATTGAAGTTCGTCTCTGTCAATATATACATATAGACATCGCAATGCTGCAAATACAGCATTGAATAGAAGTCAAATACAATCATTAAATCACTCAGTGATTTAAGTTCAACCAACATCATTGAGTGCATCAATTTCTGACATTGATAGGACTGCCATTTTAGAATTGGGATTCTAAACAGCTTGGCTCTCCAGTTTTGCAGGGGCAAGGTTATACTACTACTTCACTTTCATTATGAAGCATTTTAATTTTTTACTGGTATTCTAATCATTTTTAAAAACAACTTTGGAAATGATTAAGAATTCTTTAAATAGGTAACTAAGAGTAGAGAAAGTATTTCTATCTTGTGCATACCTGAAATACATACTGCCAAACTACATATTTGAAGCCCACAATTTCCCATTCAGGAAAGTTGAACATTGCAAAATCACGAGTGGATGTTATTTCTTTTCTTGTTATAAGCCAGGAGTAAATCAAAGAGAGTTTTTGCTCGTAGGTTAGAGGTTAAAAATCGTACATTTAAAAATCCAAGTAATGAATTTACAGGTTATACAATGTTCCACAAGAAAATCCGTTATTGAAAATTAAGTTTTAAATAACTGCTGAATTAACCAGATCACATTTAAAAATGGCCTGCTTACAGAAAATAGAATGCAATAAGTAAATAGAATAAGCTTTGAACCAGAACATTTTGAAGAAATCTGTTCTGAGTCCCCTGTTATAGGTATTTGTCATAAAACACAAAGTAGAGTGTTTCATATATTAAAAACATATTTATTATTAAGTTTCATCGCCACATTATCAATATTAAATTTACAATCTGTGATAATTCAGTGGAAAGCTAGGTATGACAAATGGGTTTAAAATGTGAAGTATTGCATTTCAGAACAGTTACCAAGAAACTCATGAGGTGAAGGATTGGCAACTAGAGAAGGTGAAAACAAGGGTGAAAATGGTTGCAATAATTTACTATTCCTTTTTTTTTCAGTCAATGTGAAATATTTATCACCAAGACTGAAAGGTTAACGGGTGTAATGCCATTGCTGTAATCTATACAGATAACGTTTTATTATTTATTACTATAAATCTGTTTGATTAGCATATGCTGTAATGTTTACCAAAGGTATTTAACTTTGGGTCTTGCATTGTTTTTATTTATAATTCTTCAGCTTTATAACACAAGAGTAAAATTAACAAGACGCACAGGCAAGGGGTGGAAGGTTGTAATCAAAATGGACTACTGACGTCAAGCTCTTGTGGAATTCAGTATTGTGGCCAAGAGACCATACGACCATATGACCGTATGACCATAAGAAATCCGCACAAGAGTAGGCTGTTAACTTTGGGTCTTGCAGCGTTTTTGTTTGTACTTCTTCTACTTATAACCTGGGATAGAAGTGTTCTCTTATGAGTAAAAGGTTGGACAGACTGGGCCTATATTCACTGAAGGCCACACAACTCAAAAATAACGTGTTTCCTGTTCATAACTGAGGAGGATTTCTTTCTCTCACAGTGTTGTACGTCTTTGCAACTGTCTTCTCCACACAGCGGTGGAGGCAGGGTCATTAAATGCTTTTAAGGTAGAGATAGACAGATTCTTGATTAACAAGGGAGTCAAGGGTTATTGGGGGAAGGTGGGAATGAAGAGCTGGTATTACAATTAGATCAACCATCGTCTCATTAAAGGATAGAGCAGGCTCTAGAGACCAGATGGCCTTCACCTACTTGTAAGCTGAATGCTCACACACATGTTTGGATAAGAACTTTGAAAACTTTCAGCATGAAACAAAGGAATACTTTACATGAAACACAGTGCTCAAACGTAACTCACTTCTGGACCGGATGTAACAATCATTACAATTAAGAAGCCCATCTCGAATACGGACATCAGTCCCAGTGGTTGCATCTCCAAGTTGACCTCTACAGATACCACACTGTAATATCACAAAACAAGTTGATAAGCCATTTTAATTCTAAAAAAAAATTATCAGTTTATCAGGATTCCTTGTAAAATAAGAAATGAACAAGAATTAATTATGAAAGTACATGTGCAAAAACAAAGTTGCTGGAAAAGCTCAGCAGGTCTGGCAGCATCTGTGAAGGAGAAAAAACAGAGTTAACGATTCGGGTCTGGTGACCCTTCCTCAGAACTGGGGAACTGAGGAAGGGTCACTGGACCAGAAACATTAACTCTGCTTTTTCCTTCACAGATGCTGCCAAACCTGCTGAACTTTTCCAGCAACTTTGTTTTTGTTCCTGATTTACAGCAAAGCAGTTCTTTTGGTTTTTATGAAAGTACATATGCTTTCTTGCCCTCATTTTAGGTTACATGTGCTTCTGAACGCATCTCTTCTGTGAGCACATATGCACTGATAATTACTCTCTTTTCCTTTGAAAAAAGTTGATATATCTGTCTTACATCTTTGACAAGGAAAACGTTGTTGATGCATCAGAGGACTTGGCATAGACGCCGGTGGTAATTAAACATACCTTTAAAATGGCATGAGGAACATATTATTTGCATGAATAAGTGGGCAAACAATATAAACATCACAGAAAAACAAGGCACCTTCTGTTTATTTCTGTGCAACTTAAATAATTATAGATCCGTTTCCATACTACAATGGGCCAGACTTTGCTGCAGCAGGGCATCCAACATTGTCTGCCTTTAGTTAGACTTGCCTTTGTACACTCAGGTTTCAAAACAGATATCAAGGGTCAGAGTGAACAGAACAAGTAACTGTGTATCTACTTCGCTGATCAGATTTAAGAATTGAGAACAAATAGATGGGAAGAAATTGTAAATAAGAGTTGGTTTAACATCAAATCAGGTATAGCAAGAGAAATAAAAACAGGAAAAGAAAAATCTGGATTAAAGGGGGGATATAACAAATGGAAAGGACAGTCATGTTTTTAAAAATGTGCTTCTTAAATCTCCAACAGTTAATACTTTCACCAGTTTTCAGTGCCTGAGAGCTCAAATGACAGTAACTAACACTTTGTTAAAAAAGGTCCTTGTACTTGAAAAGATCTTTAATTTTCGGTGAATTTTGTTTACATCTGATACTCAAGCACAGCAACATTACACCTTTCAATGCATTCCATTTGTGAGGCAGAATATGAGATGCACTTTTCGTGAAGCTGATGGGAGAGCAGTGCAACCTTGGACAATTTCTGGATATTTGCGACTTTCCTTACAGCAATTTTAAGCAAAAATCAAATGCATTTGTGAAGCATAAATAATATTTATTGCCCTTAACCTCACCATTATTTTGACAGTGAATGATGACCCATCAAAAGGATGTTTGACAAAACTTTGTAAACTGGTTTTAAAAAAATTAGAAACGGAGAAGTGTACTTTAAAGAAATTGGTCCACTTGTAGTCATTACAAAATGACCAAGCTATCAAGTTTGTCAATTTTATCAGTGATGTAACATGAAAGCATCATCTTACCAGAAGCCTGAAAGGCCTCACTGCCAAATCTAGTTCACTATAAGTTTCTAATACTGTTTTATTCCAGATTCCTGGAATGCATTGAGATTTTCAATATGCTGAGACTAAAAACATAACATGAAGCTGCTGGTGTCATCACAAAAGTAAGAGTATCAAAGTAGAGAGGTGTAAAGCTGGATGAACACAACAGGCGAAGCAGCATCAGAGGAGCAGGAAGGCTGACGTTTCGGGCCTAGCCTTGAAGGGTCTAGGCCCAAAATGTCAGCTTTCCTGCTCCTCTGATGCTGCTTGGCCTGCTGTGTTCATCCAGCTCTACACCTGGTTATCTCAGATTCTCCAGCATCTGCAGTTCCTGCTATCTCAGTATCAAAGTAGTCTCGGATAACGGGAGATGATCTAGCATTTTACTTGACTTTGAGTATAGCCACTATGACAAATAAAGAGCACCTTTGACTCAGAACATTGGCAACCTTCTGATTTGTTGCTTTATCTGCCTCTTACAATATCATACTCTGTAACTAGCCCGAAAAAAATCATCCAATCAGTAACATTTAAAGTCATCTCTTTAAATATTGTCATACAGATTTAACTCTTGCTCTGCCGGTTCCATGTTACTGGAGTGCCAGGACATAATAGTTCATTAATTAATGTGAAAATTCATGACAACAATCCACCTATCTCAATGTGGATTTTTATAGCTCTAATACTCAGTTGAAATAAAATAAATCAAATAGATTTTGTCACCAGTCACATAATTTGAGGCTCATTTTTAAGTTCAAAGTTCCAGCCAAGTACATTTGTAGCAATATAATTGTGCGATAGAATTTATGAGTTGACTAAATATTATTAGGTAATACAAATATTATGATTTGGTTAGGGACAGCTAATACAAGAAAACATCTGAACAATCAACAATTAACTGACAGAACTACACCATTAGATTTCCCATTTTTAAAGAAAAATGAACTCTACTTCTTAAAATTAACTTCACAGGATGTAGGCATCATAGGCTAGGCCAACATTGATTGTCCATTTCAAATGAGTTGGTGGAGAGCATTGTCCTTAAGCTGCTGGCATCCATGTATTGTAGGGACGCCCAATGTTCTTAAGGAGGGAGTTCCAGGATTTTGACACAGTGACAGCGAGGGATGATGTCTGACTTGGAGGGGAACTTGAAGGTTTCCACATATTTGCTGCTCTTGTCCTTCTAGGGTGGCACAAGTCACAGGTTTGGAAGGTACTATTGAAGGAGCCCTGGTCAATTAATACAGTGTATCTTATTAGATAGTACTTCCTGCTGCCACTGTGCATCAGTGGTGGAGGGTGTGAATGTCAAAAAGGTGGATGTGGTGCCAAACAAGTGGCTGTTTTGTCCTGGATGGTCAGAGCTGCCCTTATCCAGGCAAGTGGCCTAGCAAGCCACTCAGCTGTATCAAACTGCTGGAAAAATTGAACAGCCTGATACTGGCAATGACTCTGGAAAGACCTTCTTACTAATATCTACGATCTTGTGCCAATATTGAGAGAGATTTCCCACAGATGAGGTAAGTATGAGCCTGTTATTGTCATAATTATTGAATGATACCCTACAGCCAATGTTCCAGACCATCCTGGGTATTGACAGGACTGATCTACCACAGGCAAGGAGGGACATAGTAGTATATACAGTGGAAAGGTGTGTTCAAGATTACTCAAAATTGATTCTGGACCCAATTTGAGCAGATAAATGAGGCAGCTGATTTAAAGAATAAGATGACACTTATTTAAAACTGAGATTTGAAGGAATTTCTTGTGAAAGCTGCAATTCACAATGCCAGAGACTTGTGGAGACTGGAACACAAGGAGTATTTAAAGAGGAGATGGACAGATTTTTGAAATATCAGGGAGTTAATGGATGAACTGGCATGAAAGAAGAGTTAAGACCTGGGGCAGATCAGCCATGAACCTGTTGAATGGTGGGCCAGGTCTGAAGGTACCTAATCCTTTGCCAATTTATGTTTTTACATAAGTTGGTACAAAGCAAACTGGATGACTGCTCTACAGAACACCTCAGCTCTGTTCGTAAAAATGACCCTGGCATTCCACTTGCTTGCTATTTCAATAAACCATCTTCATCTCATGTTAAATTTCTGTCTTACATCTGGTTCGAACTAACCTCGATGCAAGCTGCAGGAACAACTGCTTAGGCACTTTACAGCCTTTATAGCATGGCTTCATGAAAGGGAAATAATTTCTGACTAATTTATTAGCATTTTTTGAGGAAGTCTCAACCAGAGTAGATACAGGGGAACCAGTACATGTGTTGTATTTGTATTTCCAGAAGGTGTTCAATAAGGTTCCTCACAAAAGGTTAAGTCATAAGATAAGAGCCCATGGTGTTGGATGTAGTATATTGGCACGGATATAGAATTGGCTCATGGGCGGGAAACAGTGAGTGGGGATAAAGGGTTCTTTTTCAGGTTGGCAGCCTGTGGCCAGTGGGTTTCCATAGGGATCAATGCTGGGACTGCACTGTTTATACTATATCTTAATAACATGGAGAAAGTTTGATTTACAGTAGCCAAATTTGCAGACAACATAAAAATAGGTGAAAAGGCAAGTTGTGAGAGGAGTACAACAGTTTACAGAGAGATATTAATAGGTTAATTAAGTGGGCATAAAGTTGGCAAATGGAGCATATGTCAAGAAAAATGTCAAGTTGTTCATCTTGGAAGGGAGAACAAAAGAACAGTTTTTTTTTAAATGGAGAAAAAAAACTGCAGAAAACTGTAACACAAAAGAATGTGAGGGAACTTATGCATAAAACTTCGAAAACTAGCACACAACTGCAGCAGCTAATCAGGAAGGCTAAAGGAATGTTGGCCCTTATTTCAAGGGGATTGCAGAACAAGGGTAGGGAAGTCTTACTGCAACTGTACAAGGTGCTGGTGAGACCACAACTGGAGTACTGTGATCAGTTTTGGTTCTCTTATATAAAGAAAAGATATTACTTAATTGGAGGCAGTTCAGAGAAGTTTCACTGGAGTGACCCCTGGTATGGAGTGATTCAGCAAAGGCTAAGCAGTTGTGACTGTACTCACTGGGAGGTTAAAGGAATGAGAGGTGATCTCATTAAAAAATGTAGGGGCTTGACAGGGTAAATGCTGAGAGGATGTTTCCCCTCATGGGTGAGTCTCGCACCAGAGGGCATGGTCTCAGAATTTCTTCTCTTGGAGGGTCTTGACTGTTTGGAACACCTTTCCATAGAGAGCTGTGGGGGCAGAGTCTTTGTGTACATTTAAGGCTGACATAAAAAGAATTTTGATCATTAAAGGAATCAAAGATTACAGGGAAAATGGAGGAAAGCAGATGTGAGGAGCATCAGATCATAGAATCATAGAATCATAGAAACCCTACAGTGTGGAAACAGGCCCTTCAGCCCAACAAGTCCACACCGACCCTCAGAACATCCCACCCAGACCCATCCCCCTATAACACACCTAATCTACATATCCCTGAACACTACGGGCAATTTAGCATGGCCAATCCACCTAACCTGCACATCTTTGGACTGTGGGGGGAAACCAGAGCACCCGGAGGAAACCCACGCAGACACGGAGAGAATGTGCAAACTCCACACAGACAGTCGCCCGAGAATGGAATTGAACCCATGTCCCTGGCGCTGTGAGGCAGCAGTACTGGGGAGAAAACAGAGAAGGGGTAAGAGGGGTGAAGATCGAGTCTCTCACACCCTGCGTGATTCCTCTAATGTCTCAGGAGGTTCAAAGACATCATTAAAGCTTGAACACAATCTCACACCTGAAGGGTTCCTCTTCCATGTACCTCTCCCTGCCCATGGTAATAGTGCTTGGAATAGATGTTCCTCGGATGTGAAAAGGCATTTAGAATTCCGTCCTAAACTCTCTCTGCATCTTTATCTCTGTCTACCTAAGCACCTTTGTCAGACCGACCTCTAACCATATTTTTGTTCAACCCCTCCCAGTATCTCCTCTCTGTCTCACTGTTAATTTTTATTCAATTAAGTCTCAATGAAACACTTTGGGATGTTTCACTATGTGAAGGTACACTAAATGCAGGCTGTTGTCCTCTCACTTCCCCCCCCAAATCCTCAAGGTACTGACCTGGAGGACAGACTGTGGACACTGATTGGCCTCTAGTGCTCTGTTCGAATGGTCATTCAGCATGTGAACAGCCAGACAGTGAATGATGTGAGACAATGAAGGCTGTCAGCTGAGACACATTCAGCCCTTCCGCCTGACTTCCCTGCTGGGGTCAGTGAGAACAGGATTCCTGGCTGATACTCTCTTTTCGTAGACCAGAGACACTGACGCTAATTGAAATACCTCCATTACTACCCCAGGAATAGGTCCTCCCCAGGTGCCTGTGCTGGTCGATCAGAAGCTGACGGCTTTCTAACCACTGAGTATCCGAGTGTCTTCTTGGTCAGAGTGAGAGTCAGTGAATGACTTGTATCTGATGCTGCACTCATAGGATGCTGAGTTTATACAGGAGCTTCTATACACATTGATGACTTTTTTTGGTGGTGTTTGGTCATCAGGTTAAAGGTTACACATTCTTGAAATGTTTGGACTAATGGTGGGAGAGGTTTGAGACAGATCCTGCTGAGACAGGCAGTGCTTTTGAATGATAGCTTCTCTGTGTGAGCACTGGAGGAGACATAACACAGTCAGTTCTCAATGCAACAGAAGCAGGTGACACTCCAGGTCCAAGATCAGTCATGATTCTATTGAAAAGTGGAGCAGGCTTGAGGGACTGAATGGCCTACTCTTCTTCTTTTTTCTTACGGTCTCTTGGAATATTGAATTCCACAAGAGCTTGACCTCTGTCCTCCATTTTGATTACAAACCTCCACCCCTTGCCTGTGTGTTGTCTATATCCGGTTAGCTTTACTCTTAGATGAATGGACCCCTTCTCTCCTTTTCATACCCATCATTAACACCTATTTTATGTCTCTATCTCTCCTTTAGCACCATTAGTATTCCATTTGTCTTTGTTCTGGGCAATCAAACCATCTGTTCCAGTAGTATCTGTTCCCTCTCTGTCAACTGGATATAAAAGAAAGACTTTCCAGCCTCTTTCAGCTTTGCAGAAGCATTATATGGGACTCAAAACATTAACTGTTTCTCTCCCTATAGATGCTGCCAGACCTGCTGTGTTTCTCCAGCATTTTCTATTTGCATTTGAATTTCGAACAGCTTTGGTTCAGAATTTGAGCTGGAGGCTGAACGATAGACAAGTCAGAGTGGGAAATTTATCTGGATTCTTTATATCAGGAGACCATCACACGTATTAGAATAGGGTCTTCTGATTTGATCAGTCCTCAGGGGCAGGACTGTGACTGTGAGTGAGACAGATAAGGGGATGGAAAGAGCAGGAACCTAAGCCTTTACAATTGTCCAACAAGTTTGGAAGTTCCCTCAGTTTGTCTGGATTAAGAGTGGGTGTTGCAAGGGGCTGAGCTAATTGGATTGAATTGAATCAGCTTTAATGTCACATTTACTCACATGAGTACAGTGAAATGTTTACAAGTCACCAATTATAGTGTCATCTTAGGTAAAAAAGTACCTCGGTACAGATGCTTGAGTACAAATTCTTAGGGGAAAAAAAATTAGAAAAATAAAGAAATAAAGAAGTCCAGCATTACAGACCTTCAAAACTACAAAATGGAGTGCAGAATAAACAGTCCTTCCACAAAAATATAATAAAGAAAAGAAATTTAAAATTAAGACACTTTAAGACAAAATTGACCATGGCACTGTGGTACAGGAAGCCAGTCAATTCAGAGGAAACAAAAGGAAAGAGTAGACAAGGATATCAGAGGTACTGACACTGTTCTCTGTAGCAAAAAGCAAAGGTCTAAACAGCAGTGCTGCCTGCCTGGTGTCAGGATTTGGTGCATCTGCTCTGTGCTGAAGACGACCTTGTAGATGGAGAGGGAAGATGTATGCAGATTCATGAAGGTGCCAACAGCTTAGGCAGGACAGGGAGGGAAGTTCTGCATAGTCAGAAGCAAGGTGCAAATTAAGAAGCAAAATTTGAAAGGTCATACTTTTTGGACTATTACCTGAGCTACATGCACATTGGCATTAGGCAAATCAGAACACAGAGATAAATGTGTAGCTCAAAGACTGGTATGGGCGAAGTGGGACACTGGCACCAGGACTGGGGAAAGTGGTACGGTTTCCACCTGAACTGTACTGGGGCTGGTGTTCTAGTGAGCTGCATAACCAGTAAAGAGAGAGGATTTTAAATTAAACAGTGAGGATTTGGGATCAAATTTGGAAAGATGTGGTAAATCAAGAAGTGCAGCAAAGGCCAAAGAGAAAGGTTTTAATACGTAAAATGATAAACAAAATGTGACAGGAAGACAGAGTTAGCCACCAGCTAATTCCAGAAGTAAGAAAAATACAAAAAAAACAAAGACTCCATATCTGAATGTATATAGCGTTCAAAATTAAACAGATGAACTGAGAGCACAAATAGACCCAAATAAGTATGTTCTGACAGTCATTACGGAGACAGGACTGTCGGATGTCATGGATTGGGATGTAAACCTTGGTGGGAAAAGAAGACTTGGGAAGGACAGGAAGCTAGCAAAATGTGTACAGTAGGCTCTGTTAGTTACTGATGGCAATGACCACAATAGACAGCTATTCTGCTCCTATGATGCTGCTTGGCCTGCTGTGTTCATCCAGCTCTGCACCTTGTTGTCTATGACCTAAGCTCAGGAAACCAGGATGTGGAAGTGATTTGGATAGAGATGAGAAATTACAAAGGTAAGAAGCCACCTGCGGGATTGGTGAACAAGTCTCCAATGGTAATGACACTACAGGGCGGAGCATAAAGGAAGAAGTTATGGGAACTTGTCAGAAAGGCGTGGCAATAGTCACAGGAGATTTTAATCTCAGAAATAGCATGTTATTGATACAGCTCCATTGGTAATGAATCAGATCAAAGCTCTGTGGAACATGACATATTGTCATGAATTGTTATGGAAAATTCAGTAATTAGCTGGATGGCAGCAGATACATGAGAGCACCACCACCTGCAAGATCTCCTCCAGGTAACACACCAAACCTGACTTGGAAATACGTCACCGTTTATTCCGTCACTGGATTAAAACTCTGACTTCTCTTCCTTACTGTATTGTGGGTGCACCTACACCAACGGCCCAAGAAGGCAGATCACCACCACCCTCTCAAGGTCACTTAATAATCCTACTCGATGAGCAAACAATATAGAGCAACAGGCTTGATGGGCCAAATAATCTCTTCTCACTTTTTGAGATTATCAATTCTATGATATTTTCTACAAATAACTTTTTGTAACAAATGGTGATCAGAGTGATATACTTATGATATATTTATGATCACCATCAACACAGACTACAATCCAATTAATTGCACAGTTTCTTGAGCTAGGACAGGCAGATAAACTCACCGTGAAACACTGAATATGGAAATATAGACTGAGTGTTTCAATGATCATGGCTGCACCTTTTCCAAGAGGAAGTCCACAAGTTGAGCATAACTTCTTCCCGCTGACTGACCTACAGAACAAGAGAGAGAAGTAATGCTCAAAGTTGTTTCTTCAATGAATGAAACATGGTAAATATCTTTTATTGCTGACCTCAATATTCTGAATCATATTAATAGCAGTAACAGCAATCTTATATGCTTATATTTTGAACTAGTGTTAGGCGGAAGTGATATACTACAACTTAGCAGAGGTTAGTTGGTTGTGCCACAGCTCCATCCTGTGATGCCCACCTACTGGGTGCCTGTAGCTGAAGAGATGAGTGTGGGAGTGGCAGAGATTGGCCTGACTGTAAGTTTTCATGAGATCCAGACCTAGGAGAAGAAAAAAAATTTAAAATCTTGTCAATTTCTTCATGTACTTCCATTTATATGAGATCAATAATTGATTTGCTTAATAATTGGAGAAAATAGTAACAGATCAAGTTAAATTAAATTCTTCAGAAATCCATATATAAATGGATACTATCTACCACACTGACAGTGCTTAAAGGCTCAGTGTACTGTTTGCACCTCTGACATAATGGCAGCCTTGGTCAAAAGATAACACTTGGCCTTGACCTTTACCTCCTTCGAACATGCTATCTTCCTCTGTGAGAAGGTGGAACATCATGGATTTATGCTGTGAGTTGGTCAAATGCAACAAAAAGGAAGAAATGTGTAGCCCACATAAAAAACAACTTCAAAGTAAATGGCACTTAATGAGCACCATGGAATGGTTTGAGGAGAATGTGACATCCACCATCCCTCGTCAACCTGAGCATGTATGAAATTCTCTGGTCACCTATCTCATCAAAAAAACAGCATAGACATCAAGAAATGAGACTGGGACCCCTTTTATAAGACTGCTGTCAACAATTTAACTAGCCAGGAAAAGCATATGGATAATGTTTCTCTATTTTTGAGAAGCCCATATACTTTTTTTAAAGCTTCACATTAAGTTTGCAAAGTTAGAGGGGGTCAAATTATTTCTCAACAAACACCTCCAAAATTCTGTATTCAACACAGATCTCCAGACTATCAACAGATGCATTGTCTTAAAGGCATTTGCAGACTTTCAAACAACAAAATAAATGCTTGTTTGAACTTAACAATTGAATTTCAAAGTACAGTACTTTAAGAACTTTTAAAACCTTCATTTGCCACTCAGTGGAAAGGGATAGCATTACTGAATCCTCAGTTGTGAAGTATATACTGAATGAGTATGAATAGCAAGGTTTATTATCCAGAGTAGGCTCTCTATGAGTCAAGGATGAAACTGGCATATGATAAACTTAGCGTACGTTAGCCCAGCTTTTGCAGTAGTAATGAAGACAAAACAGTTAGTGTTCATTGCCATTGAAGAAAAATAGCCTTATACCTATATTGTACTTTTCATGACCATAGGATATCTCTAAAGTGCTTTACAGCCAATGAAATACTTTTGAAATGTGGTCATCGTTACAAAATAGGCAATGCTGCGGTTTATTTGCACTCAGCAAATTCCACGATTAACAAGATTACAAGAACCAGATAATCTGAGTGATATATTTTGGCCCAGGCACAGAAATCACTCTCAGCTATTTTTGAATTAGTGCTTTGAAATCTTTCATGTCCATCTTAGAAAGAAGGTAACACCTTGGTTAAATACCTCATCTAAAACATTGCACCTTTAACAGAGCAGCACACCCTCAGCACTGCACTGAGCAAATTAGCCCGCACCTTTATGCTGAGATTGTGGAGCAGAACATTGTGATTTAAAAGTGAATGCTCTACCAATGCAAACCACAGCTGACACAGATCCTTTGAAATTGATAATGTCCTCTCGAATATGCATATGTGCAGTTCAATGTAGAAATCCAACATTTGCTGTTAGTGTTCCTATGTTTCTTCATAGGATGCACTGTTGATGTTCTTACACACTACAACCAAATAGATATCATTGACTATAAGAATTTTCCGCACTATTATTCTCAAGATAAAACACCTTTGAAAATGTTACATCTTGTTGAATGAAGTGTAACTGAGCTTTTAAACAATGTACAAAATTCATAATTAATGCTGAAACTTTTCTGTCCCTGGAAAACTAGCTTTATATTTATGCAATGCATTTTTTTATGATTTTAACAATATCCCATATTATAGAAATAATATAACATAAGAATTGGACACAAGGACAACTGAAAGATCATGATGCAGGGATTCATTAGTCCACTGGCATCATCAGGCCATTACAAAAATAAAGGGAAGTTAAGGTTAAATATGGAAAAGATAGTATTTCCATGGAATCAAGCATGTGATTTGTATCTGGTTGAGAAAATCCTTTGGCTGTCTGATCCTCTTTCTTATTATGCTTCCTTCCCCCAAAGATACTCTTTCCTCCTTTCAAACGCCCCAGCTGCCCTGCTCAATGCCCTCTCTCACAACCGCCAACTGCTGTTGAAGATTCCAACACAACTGTATGAACCACTCTCTCTTAATACTGCCACCTGCTGATGCAGGTTCCATTAAAATAATATTTTTAAAATTTATATTTCAGCTTCTGCCTTAATCCCATGCAGGTGTCCCAATCATTTTCTATTGTCTGTAAAATTTGAAGTGAAGGGTATCGGTGCAATTTAATTCCTGGCACATAGTTCTTTGAAAGTTGTATCACAGGTAGACAGGATAGTTAAGTAGCTGTTTAGCACGCTTGCCATTATTCTTCAGACCTTGGAGTATAAGAGTCGAGATGTCATGTTGAGGCACTTTGGTAAGGCCGCTTTTGGAGTACTGTTTTCAATTCTGGTCACCCTGCTATGGGAAAGATATTATTAAATTGGAGAGGTTTCAGAAAAGAATGACCAGAATGTTGCCGGGACTGAAGGGTTTGTGTTATGAGGATAGGCTGGATTGGCTGTGATCTTTATCACTGCAGTCTAGGAGGTTGAGGAATGACCTTATAGAAGTTTGTAAAATCATGAGGGGCACAGACAAGGTGAATTAGCAAAAGTCTTTTCCCTAGAGTGGGGGAGTTCAATACCAGAGGGCATAATTTTAAGGTGAGAGGAGAAAGATTTAAAGGAATCTGAGGGGCAACTTTTTCACACAGAGGGTGGTTCGTATGTGGAATGAATTACCAGTGAAATTGGTAGATGCAGGTGTAGGTGCAACATTTAAAAGGCATTTGGATAGATCCATCAATAGGAAAGGTTTAGAGGGATAACAAGGTGTAGAGCTGGATGAACACAGCAGGCCAAGCAGCATCAGAGGAGCAGGAAGGCTGACGTTTCCGGCCTAGACCCTTCTTCAGAAATGGGGGAGGGGAAGGGGCTTCTGAAATAAATAGGGAGAGAGGGGGAGGCGGATAGAAGATGGATAGAGGAGAAGATAGGTGGAGAGGAAACAGACAGGTCAAAGAGGCGGGGATGGAGCCAGTAAAGGTGAGTGTAGGTGGGGAGTTAGGGAGGAGATAGGTCAGTCCAAGGAGGACGGACAGGTCAAGGGGGCGGGATGAGGTTAGTAGGTAGGAGATGGGGGTGGGGCTTGAGGTGGGAGGAAGGGATAGGTGGGAGAAAGGACAGGTTAGGGAGGCGGGGATGAGCTGGGCTGGTTTTGGGATGCAGTGGGGGGAGGGGAGATTTTGAAGCTTGTGAAGTCCACATTGATACCCTTGGGCTGCAGGGTTCCCAAGCGGAATATGAGTTGCTGTTCCTGCAACCTTCGGGTGGCATCGTTGTGGCACTGCAGGAGGCCCAGGATGGACATGTCGCCTAAGGAATGGGAGGGGGAATTGAAATGGGAGGTGCAGTTGTTTAGTGCGAACCGAGCGAAGGTGTTGGATGTTGAACAGTTTTTCCGCCACCTCCGCCTCCGCGCTTACTTCTTCAACTGTGAGCCTAATCCTCCCTCTACTGACCCCTTCTCCTGCCTCCAACACACCCCCTCCTCCTGGACACTACCCCAAGGCCTCCTACCCTCCCTTGACCTCTTCATCTCCAACTGCCGTCGAGACATCAATCGCCTCAACCTCTCCAACCCTCTCACCCACTCCAACCTCTCCTCCACAGAACGTGCAGCCCTCCGCTCCAATCCCAACCTCACCATAAAACCCGCGGACAAGGGAGGCGCAGTTGTAGTATGGCGCACTGACCTCTACATCGCCGAGGCCAGACGCCAACTCTCCGACACCTCCTCCTACCGCCCCCTTGATCATGACCCCACCTCCGACCACCAAACCATCATCTCCCAAACCATCCACTACCTCATCACCTCAGGTGACCTCCCACTCACAGCCTCCAACCTCATCGTTTCCCAATCCCGCACCGCCCGCTTCTATCTCCTTCCCAAAATCCACAAACCTGACTGCCCTGGTCAACCCATTATCTCTGCCTGCTCCTGCCCCACCGAACTTATTTCCACTTATCTCAACTCCATTTTCTCCCCCTTTGTCCAGGAACTCCCTACCTATGTCCGTGACACCACCCACGCCCTCCACCTCCTCCAGAACTTCCAATTCCCCGGTCCCCAACACCTCATCTTGACCATGGACGTCCAGTCCCAATACACTTGCATTCCCCATGCAGATGGCCTAAAGGCCCTCCGCTTCTTCCTGTCCCGCAGGCCCGACCAGTACCCCTCCACTGACACTCTCATCCACTTAGCTGAACTCATCCTCACCCTCAACAACTTCTCTTTCAATTCCTCCCACTTCCTACAGACAAAGGGGGTGGCCATGGGTACCCGCATGGGCCCAAGCTACGCCTGCCTCTTTGTAGGTTACGTGGAACAATCCCTCTTCCGTAGCTACACTGGCCCTAAACCCCACCTCTTCCTCAGTTACATTGATGACTGTAATGGCACTGCCTCGTGCTCCCACGGGGAGCTCGAACAGTTCATTCACTTCACCAACACCTTCCACCCCAACCTTAAGTTCACCTGGACCATCTCTAACACCTCTCTCTCCTTCCTGGACCTCTCTGTCTCCATCTTTGGCAACCACCTGGAAACCGATATCCATTTCAAGCCCACCGACTCCCACAGCTACCTAGAATACACCTTCTCCCACCTACCTTCCTGCAAAAATGCCATCCCCTATTCCCAATTCCTTCGCCTCCGCCGCATCTGCTGCCGAGATGAGGCATTCCACTCCCATACATCCCAGATGTCCTCGTTTTTCAAGGACCGCAACATCCCCCCCCTCAGTGGTCGAGAACGCCCTCAACCGTGTCTCCCGCATTTCCCACAACTCATCCCTCACACCCCCTCCCCGTAATAACAACCAAAACAGAATCCCCCTCGTCCTCACGTACCACCCCACCAACCTCCGGATCCAACGCATCATCCTCTGACTCTTCCGCCATTTGCAATCCGACCCCACCACCGAAGACATTTTTCCCTCCCCACCCTTATCTGCTTTCCGGAGGGACTCTCTCTGTGATCCCTTGTCCGCTCCACACTACCCACCAGCCCCACCACACCTGGCACTTTTCCCTGCAACCACAGGAAGTGCTACACCTGCCCCTACACCTCCCCCCCTCACCCCCATCCCAGGCCCCAAGAAGACTTTCCACATCAAGCAGATGATCACCTGCACATCTGCTAATGTGGTATACTGCATCCACTGTTCCTGTTGTGGCCTCCTCTACATCGGGGAAACCAAGCGGAGGCTTGGGGACCGCTTTGCAGAACACCTACGCTCGGTTCGCACTAAACAACTGCACCTCCCAGTCGCGAACCATTTCAACTTCCCCTCCCATTCCTCAGATGACATGTCCATCCTGGGCCTCCTGCAGTGCCACAACGATGCCACCCGAAGGTTGCAGGAACAGCAACTCATATTCCGCTTGGGAACCTTGCAGCCCAAGGGTATCAATGTGGACTTCACAAGCTTCAAAATCTCCCCTCCCCCTACCGCATCTCAAAACCAGCCCAGCTCATCCCCGCCTCCCTAACCTGTCCTTTCTCCCACCTATCCCTTCCTCCCACCTCAAGCCCCACCCCCATCTCCTACCTACTAACCTCATCCCGCCCCCTTGACCTGTCCGTCCTCCTTGGACTGACCTATCTCCTCCCTAACTCCCCACCTACACTCACCTTTACTGGCTCCATCCCCGCCTCTTTGACCTGTCTGTCTCCTCTCCACCTATCTTCTCCTCTATCCATCTTCTATCCGCCTCCCCCTCTCTCCCTATTTATTTCAAAACCCCCTTCCCCTCCCCCATTTCTGAAGAAGGTTCTAGGCCTGAAATGTCAGCCTTCCTGCTCCCCTGATGCTGCTTGGCCTTCTGTGTTCATCCAGCTCTACACCTTGTTATCTCAGTTTCTCCAGCATCTGCAGTTCCTACTATCTCTAAAAGGTTTGGAGGTAAATGGGCCAAACCCAGGCAAGTTGGACTAGTTTAGTTTGGGAAACTTGGTCAGCATGGATGGGTTGGACCGAAGGGTCTATCTCCATGCTCTATGACTCTATGGTTTCCTGTTTGTGAAAACACTCAACATTATAGGTTGCTTACCATACTTGATGACATCACTGTTGCCGATTTCCTGGAAATCTCCTTGACTTGTTGCCAGGTTCAAACTGATATCAAACAAATAAAAAAACCTACTGTGTCGAGGTCATGCAGTCAACATACGTCTTGATCAGTGACAAGTTATATAGCTTCACCACTGACCACAATATCTAAGTGAATTTGTCTCAATCTACATTGTTGTAGCCTGTAGTAACTTGTACTTATGTTGCACCTTTAACAAAGTAAATGTGCTGAAGTGTGGTGAAGATAATTAAAACCAAGAAATAGAGGCTGCAGGATTTGATGATGACCAAAAGTGAGATCAAATAGGAATATTTTGAGAAGGCCTCTTGATAGGAGTAGACAGGCACAAAATAAAAAGGGTTAAGTGATGGAATTCCAGAGTTTGGGACCACAGAAGCTGGAGATATTGCAGCATCAATCTTGTCACAACTGCAGCTTCAATTCCCAAAGCATTAGCAGATTTGTCTAGCATCATCAAGAGGCACAGTATTGTGCAATGCATAATGGAAATCTATGGCTTCACATCTTTTTAGTCAGAAGAATTTACTGCCAAACTAATACAAGGTTTGCAACATCAAATATAAAATGCAGTTCTGGAAAAAACTGAACAGAATAATCTGACTACCAACCAGTTTTTTCTTTCCATTGTATTAGACTGAAGAGCCCAGCTTCTGTCCAGAGACCCAGTCTTTACTACATCTCCTTGTTGTTGCTTTCTTGGAATTTCAAGGAACGAAGGAGGTTCCTGTGCATTCCATGATCTGCTGGCAAATACTGGGGATCCTGCAGCTGAAATTAACATAAAAGTGTATGTTTTACATAAATGGAGACTCCCACGAATTAATGTGCATCAGAAAACAATAATTCGTGTCTGAAACTACAAAATGATTTCATCTCAATTAAATGAAACTGCTCGTTGTAGGCACTGTGGGAGCTGTGAGATGTGAAGATGTAGGGAATCCAGACCCGCCAATGCCCTCTTCCTTGCATGCTGACCGTCATGTTAGGTAGAGGGATGGCATGGACAATAGCCAGATCATAACATCGTACAGCATCAAATATGTCATTTTGGACTACAAACACCCTATTAATACCCTTTCTTAAACACACATAGCTGCTCAAATGATCTCTCGTATAGCACCACTTAAGACGATTCACCAAGAAGGTAGTTACTGACCTGTGTCATCTCTGTGAACATGATATTTATCTGCAGCATGTCAGTAACTGTACATTTTAAACCCAGGCTTGCTAAGAGGCCATGTGAATAATGTGTTGGGCTAATTCCATGCAGGACTTACTGTTCTCACCATATCCACATTTTCATTGTGCAGCTATCACCATTGATTCCACTAGTATATGTACAATCGCCCAGTTGAAACATCACTTATTTATACAGGAAACTTTCAGAGAATTTTGAACAGGTTACTGTAGAATGCCAGGGGCTGTACAAGCCTAACAACTTCAGTTGATGAGTACTTTCTTGACGGGACTAGGCAAAATTTGTCCAACACAATGCTCATTAGCCCTAAATACCAGGAAGAGATAATGAAAAATACTGGATAGCGATGGCTTGTGTATTACCAAAACAATCTACATTTTAAAGACTTACTTATAGTGTTCAGTTCTGACAAACCCTGGAGACCAGTTAGAAGGAATCTGTACATACATTGCACCATTTTCATGAAAAAAAAGGCTGTAGAGACTTCCAATCCATGCTGTATCACCATAGCAACACCCTGCTAGAATCTACCTGCCTTGTCTGAGAATTAAGATTGACAGTTAACTGTTCTTGCTATATTTCTGTGCTAATGATGACCCCAACCAATTAGCATCCTCTTCTCATGCTTTATACATTGGTGTCCCTTTCTTCAAGTCGGTTTCTTGCATCCTAGTCTTGATGAGTGCAAGATGAAAAGCTTTGACCTTTAGTCTCCTTTTAGCAATTCATCAACAAGAAATTCAAAAAAAAACATAGATCCAGAAGATATGTAGAAGATGCCTAACCTTGAGCTGGTAGTTTCTCCTGATCTGCAAAAGGTATTTGCCAGTCTGCCTGGTTCTGTCTTTCACTAACAGTCTCTTTGTCCATTTGGAAAATGTGTACTTCAGATTGGACATTCAACCTGTTGGCACAGAACTCAAAGTGTTATTGGAAATTATTTTATAAATCCAAGATCAATTGTTCCCTTTTCATACTTTCAGCAAGTGCAGTAGTGAAACAATGCACGTTGAAGCATTATCAAAAAAAGAGATCAGTTTAAATTTTATCTGCATAGTCTTCATACCAGTTGCTCCTAATCTTCAGATCCGTGGGAAGTTTGAATAACTTGGGATAGAATTAATAGTCACATAGACAAATATGGTTCATTAGGACGATCCAGCATGGAATTTAGGGGAAAGTTGTGTTGAACTGAGTTGGAGTTTTTTGAAGAAGTAATAGAGAGAGTTGCTAATTCTGCTGAGGTAGTTTACACTGACTTCCAAAAGAGGTTTGTTACAGTGCTGCTCAACAGACCTGCGAGCAAAGTTTTATGTCATGAAATAAAGGGGATAGTAGCAACATGGATTCTAAAGTTACTGAATGACAGGAAACATAAAGAAGGGCAGTGAATCAAAAATCAGAAGCATTTGTACTTAGAAAAAATGGTAAATCAACTTTCAAATGGAGGTAGGCAAGTAGACAAGAGTAACAATGACTTAAGAGTATCTGTCCCATGGCCAGAAGTGAAGATGAGTTAGGTGACTGAGATAGCATTGATGGTCAGGCCCCAAAATAAGGGTATGTTAACAAGGACATGAGGGGAGGAAGGGACACAAAGATCCAGGGAGGTGAACCACCCCATTTCCTTGCAGGAAGACCAGAGATTTCCTTAAATCAGCCCAAGGGAAGAACAAAGTCCGTTGGTACCAAGACCAAGGGTGTAGGAAGACTGGGACATGGGAGTGTGCTGCCTCTACTCTTTCATTCTGTAGAACAGCTCTGGGATCAGTAAAATATTCTAAACTGTCAAGGGTCATATATTTTCTTTCTTTGCCTAATTAATTAATGCACCACATCTAAACTGTTGCTTATCAAAAAATTATCCAAAAATTGTAATAAATTGTTGCAATAAAATGGAGTGAGTGCCAATTTTGACTTTCAGTGAAATTTATCTTTCAGTTAAAATACAGGACTTTTGCTACAAAGGCCATTCTAAACATATTGGCTGAATTGGTTTGTACAGACTGATGAAGGTTTAATTTTCAGTGGCACAACACAAGTTAACATTTCACATGAAAACTCTTTTAATATATTCACTTACATGGTAGGTTAAAACAAAATTAATTTTAAAGATAATTCTGCATTCCTGCAACTCCAGGGTGTATCAGTGCTTTCAAACAAGGTTACTCACCCACATCTCATTTTCTTTAAGCTTCATTTCTGTCTGGAGGCATGGAATTTTTATTTAAAGAATGTGAATATGTTAAACAGCGGAAATTAAACTTTCTCGTCCTTAGGGGCAAAAATCTAAAACCTTCTAAATACTTTGATACACCGCATGCACAATACTAATGAATGATTGGTTAATTACCTAATGGGAGGTCAAAATATTCACACGTCGTGCTTTTAAGAATGTTAGGTAGGTAATTTTCAGAGTTAGGCACCAGACAAAAACAGTAATCCTGTGCTGCCTAAAATCTAAACAAACATATCTGAGTTTGAGGAGATAGCAAGAACTACAGATGCTGGAAGTCAGAGTTGATAAAATGTGGAGCTGGAGCAGCATAGCAGGTCAGACAACATCCGAGGAGCAGGAAAGTCAATGTTTTGGGTCAGGACCCTTCATCAGGACTGGGGAAGAAGAAGGGAGCTCAGGGAAGGTAGGTGGGATGGTGATGGGTGGGTGTAGTTTGGGGGTTGTAGAGATTGGTCAATGGGAAGGGTGGGGTGGATAGGTGAGAAGGAAGGTGGACAGGCTGTGTCAAGTTAAGGAGGTGGGAATGAGAGGGATGGCTGGACTCATATCTTCATATCCTGAAGAGGACCCACCACATTATTGTGAAATAGTAGCCATTGATCAACCAATGCTCATGGTGTGATTGTGCTGAAGATTTTGCACTTCCTTTTAAGACAAATGTGCTTGTCAAGGGAAGGAGACGGAGATTTGGAATACTTTGGGCATCCAGTATCAGCACAAAACATTCATCAGATTATTCCTTACTTTGGCCCAACAGTGTCTTACAGTTGCAATCTCAGAAGAACACCCTTTCCGAGAGTGAAATTTCATATTTTCTATCATACCTGTCCCACAGTCTCTCTAAGTGAGATTCTCTATCAGTGCTGTATTAGGGGTAATCTTATATGATGGGTCCATGGCCAATATGAATTAGTTGAGTCAATTCAAGCTCATTTCATACAGGAAAGAATTTGTGGTCTATAGACAAGGACCATTTTTATTCATTACTTAATAATTTCCTGTGTATGATTTTAATGCAACCTTATTTGTTTGATCTAAATGCTGTGTTGGGAATATTCCTTGTCTTTAAAGCTGAACATTGAAAAACCCAAAAAATGAATTTTCAGACACTTCACTCATGCAGTCTCGCTTAATGAGAGTACAGTTTGGACAATAAAGGTGCACAGGCCAAAATCCCTGCTTTGCAGCTTTCTTTATGTTTTAGTCAGTAAATTTTCAGGGACTTCACACCTGCTGCTGGGTCTGGTTCAATGGCAGCACAGACTGGGGATTGTGCCCAAAGCGCAATAATTTCAATTTAAAATGCACTTGGTTTTCCAAACACTAAATAGAAAATCAATGGGGAGAAATTACAATAATCAGAAAATGAGGTGTGTCTTACGTTGAGCTCACTGATCTCCTACCTTTACTACGATCAAATGAACCCATACTAGAAACAGATGTTATTTGTTATTTGCCTTTGTGTTAATCGATTACTCCTTTTCTAATTTGATCTTTGGCAGATTTAAAAGGCTCCAGGTCATTGGTATGTCAGAGTTACATATATCTAATTGGTACACTCAGTGCCTAAACAGATAATGACTTATTACAAGCAAATCAAAATGTGCCTGCTATACAACAATGAAAGCAATAATGGGAAATAAGCAGTGATACAACTACAGTATAGATCTAGAGAACTAGAAAGTTGCAAACTTTTTTTTACTAATACATACTTTTGCTCTTCAGGTTCTGGTTGTGTACTCTCCTGCCAGTGCCGTGTCTCCAGTTTGTTCTTCCAAGTTTCATCCCAGTTGTCCTGTTGTTCCGTCTCATCCTTTTTAAGGGTCTGTGACTCTGCTGGTTCCCACAGCAGTTTTTGTTGCTCCTCTTCTGCTTGCATTTGTCCCTTATCTTCTGCTTGCCAACTCTCTGCTTCCCCCATTTGCTAGCAATTAAAGGTACATTTGGGTTTTTGAATTAAAATAGTATACATTTGTCTACTACAAAAGCAAAATACTGTGGTCACTGAAAATCTGAAATAAAAATGGAAATGCTAAGCACCTCTGGCATTCATATAATATTTGGTATCTTAGGTAATGAGAAATAGAAGACGCCATGGGCTGGTGCTGGTGTGGCATCTCCCACGCATGGGTGGGAAGGTACAATGGGAAAGGGATGGAAGATAGTGAAAAGGGCTAGGTATCTCGGAGCAAACAGTCCCTTGCTGAATGGGGTAGGGGCTTGAAGTTGCATTTGGTGTGGTATTACACTGGAAGGGGCAGAAATGTTGGAGGATGATATGTTAAATGTGGAAGCTCCCAACTAATGTCCCTGTACTGGCTTTAAATCTGCTCCATCTCAAAACGTTTCCATTTCTGAGGAATGTCAATGACCTAAAGCATTGACTTCTCTGTCCACATATGCTGCTAGATCTGTTGAGCATCTCCAGCATTTTCTGTATTTATTGCAACAGTTATCTTTTGATAACTAAAGAATTAGCACAATGACAAACCAAGGTTCATGCTAAACATCAGCTTTGCTTTAATATTGTTTCAGAGCTAGTAGGAACTGCAGATGCTGGAGAATCTG